GAGAAGTCCTCGAGCACGGAAATTGGTCAATGGGGAGAACCCCCAGGTGCATTTATTCACCCTCTGCAGAGTCTTCTGTCTCTGCTGACTAACGGTAGAACCTGAAGTGCCTGATGTCCCACACCTGTGCCTGTTTGTGGCTTTTTATTCTTAGGTTTTGTACTGGTGAAGTACAGCCATGTGGTGGACAAAATGTATTAGATATGTGGGGCAAGGAGAAATCCACCTGGATATAGTGTAAGGATATTTAGGCTATGCTTTTCATACTAATCACTTTAAGGTTGTGTTGTTAGCAAGGATTAAAGGTTGATCCACTTCTAATAAGTACTTTTTACTACTCAGAGTGGTGCTGCTTCGGTGCAAGCTCCGAGTGAGAAGTGGAAATGCTCTCATTTTATTCTCATGGCAGAAATGGACCGCTCTGATCTCTGCAAGAGAGGATGAAGCCAAATTAGCAACTGAGTTCACCCCATTTCTTTCAGAGAAGTTTCAGCCTTGCTGTGAAGCAATGATTAGGCCTCGAGGCTGGTGGCTAATGTGCTTCCAGACGTACGGCATGTACAACTGCTCCTCTGCATGGTCGGCAATTGCCACATCCTGAGTATCTGATTTAACTCAAGGTGAATGGAGATAGGAGGGATAAATATAACCTTTACAGTGGCATGTTCTTATTTCCCAGAGTCTTTTAAAGTGTGAGGAATCTTGTCAGGTGTTGCAGTGTGGCTGTGCGTGCGGGGAACAGAACAGGCAGTGCTCAAAGGGGCTTGCCTTGCCCCGGTTGAGAAGGGCCTCTCCTCAGTTGCCCCTTGCTTCCAGAGTTCAGCAGGCTCTGAAAACACGTAAACACGGCCCTGGGGTCTGTGTGGCACGGGCAAGGAGTACCTGGCACGGGCAAGGAGTACCTGGCACCTTCGCTCTTCCCTTTGGCTTTCATCTCCCTTACCTCCCAGTGCACTGGAGACGGCTTTATTTATGGGTTGAGCACAGTAATAAATTGAGTTTCAAGAGAATCCCCGTGGGCACAGCGTGGCTCCCGAGGCTGTACCTGTGCGGTGGAAGGGAGGTGGAGTTGTAAATCAGCACTCAAGCCCGTGCTGTCTCCAGTCTAGCAGGCGGGATGGCAACAGCAGGGAGGATGGGGCTTGTGCCCACTGTGGCCCCTCGGTTTGTATGCTGATGTTGCCCAGCTGTGCTGCAGGCACCTTCATTGCTACTGTTAGCTAGGCTGCCAACGTTACATATGATATACATAGAATTTATAGTCTGCCTGCACTCCAAGTTTACTTGGCTCTTTTCATTTGTGGTGTAATTAAAAAAAGTAGGAAGAGAGGTAGATGATGTTGGGCAGGGCAATGTGCTGCGTTCTCGGGATTCCCACATTTTGGGGGATCAGTCCTGGGCGTGTATAATCACAGCCTTAGCTCTGTGCTAGTGCATGGAGGGGATCTAGTGGTGTGTGTTTGAAAAGGGTGTATGAACTCCTTTCTATTTCCTGGATTTTGTGGGTTTGAGTTTATCTTTACAGTTCCTTAGCAACCTTATTTGTTTTCAGTAAGTGTTTTCTGGGTTGACTGTGAGAGCTTCCCTCCCCCACTGGCTCGGTTGCAGCTGGGGAGGGCTGAAGGGAGGACAGTTAAACGTGGCCGACCCACCAGGCACCGCACTGACCACTGTGTCCCCCAGCCAGGGGAAAGAAGGCTGACCCTTGCTTATTTCATGTACTGTCAAATGTAAGGGGGTAAGGAGACTAGAGCAGAACTGTGTTAGAGGCATTTTCATTATTAAAGAGAGGCAAGTGGAAAATGTTAGCTGTGCATAATATGTATAACATAGCCATACATAATACATATTTAACATGTATATTACATGTGGTGCAGGTAGTCCTCCCCTGTCTCCAGTGCAATTTATCTCCTCCTTTTGGACCTTGCCTAAGTGCCTCTAATGGTGCTTGACACATCCCAGATGCAATCCAAAGACACAGCTGAGAAATAGGTCAGTTGTATCAGAAGTCACCTTTCCTAAAAATATACAAGGAAAAGAGACAGGAGGCTTCTGACAGTGAAGCCTGTGTAGAGCTGCCTTCCTAAATGGAAGAATGTTCAAAGTGAACGGTACGGCTAACGCTGTACAGGAAGAATAGCTTTGCTCTTATGCATTTATGCAGAAGATAGTGAGGAGGAGCTGGCAAAGACGTTTTGGGAGGACACAGGGTTTCTGAAAGACCTACTTGAGAAGGCTGGGAATTGATTATCTCGGATACCATGGTAGGGTGGAGGGACCTAAGTGCAAAGAAATGAAGATGGGCATCGGGAGAAGAAAAACTTACACAAGTACTCTGGGATTAAGCCCTGTCCTAAATAAGCATCATCTACTTAGAGCGATTGGTGACTGCAATAGGTGTATGCTGATTGAGAAAGTTCCAAGACATCTGTTCCTTTTTCTTTCTTATTTTCTTTGACATTCAGTCATGTTCTGTCTTACTTGATCGTTTCCCTCCCGCCCCTGTTTCTTTAAGGTGAGCACAAAGTAGTTCAGGGGAAGTAGAGGTAAAGTTTTGAACAGAATTTAACAGAAGGCATGGGTGCTTAATGACTTTCGCCTGAATTCTCATCATGTTCCCTCTTTCCCCCTTGATAATCCCATAATCCTTTTTGTGGTGCAACACAACACAGAATTTCTCACTCCAGCCATGATACTCAAGTATGTCCATGTGGCCCTACCTGTCTTCTGCTTTGATCGCTGCAATTTTCTCCTCTTGAGTTCATTCACTCTCATATCCTCCAAACCAAATCAGACACAGCTGCAGTGACCTCTTTCTTACTGTTTTTCCAGATCATCTTTCTGTGCTGGCAAGAGGTCAGCTTTTTGTCCATTATTGCCCAAGGTGGTTGTTAAATTAACATTTTCTTTCCGCTCTACTAGTGGTCGTAATACTGGTCTCCCTCCTCTTTCTTGATTATCTTCTGTACCCTGCACTGATGGTTATTTCTTATTCCCTGTTCAATCGATCACTGTAACAAGGCACTCAATGAGAGCGTCTGGATAAACTTAAACAAGGAATCAAGAGGCATGTTCGGCTCAGGAGCCAAGCTCCAAAGCCAGAGGTCGGGAGCCAGAATCAAAAGAGGGAAATAGGATGAAGAGCTGTGCTGTCAATCACAGCATTAGGCACGTCAGTCAGGCAGGGAAATCTGCAGGAAATATCTAACCAGGCCTGCTTCCCCAGTTGTTGCCCAAGTGAGAAAATGTGAGTGAGAGCACTGACCTGTTGGTGCCAGGGGGAGGGACGCCAAGCTTTGCTCAGCAAACTTGGAAGGAGATCCTGGGTTGATTATCCCCTGCCAGGGGGTTATGTACATTTGCCTTGTGCTACATTGCCTGCAAAGATCTGAGCAATACACAATAAACTATGTTTTTTACGTATACAGTGCTGCATCACAAAGTAAGATGGAGTTAAAATCTGTCTCCCTCTTTCCTGAAGTTAATGTGTGCTCCGTGGGGAAGGTAGTGCTCCGTGTGCATGCAGTAAAGAGGCCTTCACTTAGGGCTGAGCCCTGTGTGATCAATTCTAAAGCTGCCTTAGGGGCTGACATTATTTCTCCCCTTTTTAAATCTGCAAAATTAAACCGTTGAGTGCTGTGGCTGGCCTCTAGGCAGAAGAATTCCTTATGCTGCTTTATGCTCTGGAACTGCTGCTGCAGCAGTGACTATCTACATTAGCCATAGATAGGCATGCTGGGGCCTGATAGCAGCTGTTGCCAAAAGATAGTTTAAAAGCCTCTTCCCTCCCTGCCTGCTTTACAGATAAAGGTGTATTCCTTGTACTAAGTCAGGGTTTCTGTTTTCCTAATCCAGAAATGTCCACAAATAGTTATAGCTTTTCAGTTTTTGTCACAAGTTGCTAAGTTTTTCTCCAGTGGAAATTGAGCTCCTTGGCTCAGAAGTTGCTTTCTCCTCTGGGGAAGGTGTTGAAGGGAACACGAAAGTGAGGGGAATAAAAGATTCAAGGAAAATTCTCCTGTTGTCACGTGTTTGCATGTGACAAAAATTAGTCCCGATGCAACATAGAAATGTAAGGTATTTAGCAGCATAAATTCACACCAAATATCTCTAAACAAAGCTGAGCTCTCCTGGTTCTCCCGAGCAAAGAGCTGTTTGGCACATGTCACTGCCAAAAGATGGGCAGTCACAGCTGCTGTATCTAAAAGTTTGTACTGGGATGGTTTGCTACAAAAAGCGTGCTGCAGAACTTGCATTCACCTCCCATCACAGCCATTTACTTTTTTTATTTGAAAACAGATTATTATGAAGAATTAATGAAATACATATGCAGCATGCCAATAAACAGTAACAAGCTTCCAATTCATAAGAGGTGATAGATTTCAGCACCTCTTGGCATGCTTTGCACATGGGAATAATTCCTTGCTTATCAGGGTTATTTGTCTGAAATATTAGGCAGGCTTTTATGCTTTCTTATGTCGTGAAAAGAAGTCTAGAGGTGCTTTTTTTTTTTTTTTTTTTTTTCTTTCCTTCTCTTTTAAAAATATTTTTTTTTTTTTTTTTTTTTTTTTAATATGCAGAATATACTGCCTTAGGAGCAATAAGAAGAATTCTTTCAAAGAGGAATAACTGGGTGTGAACTAGGTAACGTGGAACGATTCGTGTGTCGGGGAGGGTCAACAAGAGGGTTAGCAGGAGGTGTGTATGCAACTACATCAGTTCTGCCACCAACTAATTCAGTCTCTAACCTGCACCTAAGAAAAGCCTCCCTGCCAGAAGGAAAAAGTACAGTATGTTGCAACTGTGTACTGAGGAAGCTAATGGAGCATTTTACGGATGAAAAAAAGAGTGCAGCAAGCCTGGGTCAATAAAAATGGGCTGAACTCTAAAAAGGAAATTAGTGTAAATATACAATAACAAGAATAAATATTATACAATAATCCATTTGTGCAGATTTGGGTGCAGCAAATAAGCAGTGTGTTTTTTTTTTTTTTTTTTCTTCTTTCTTCTCTGAACATACCTGAGATACCTTGGGGCTTCTAGGATATTGTAGCACGGAAAGGCAAACAGCTGCTCAACTCAAGTACACTCTGTAGTTGATGAGTGAGGGGTTTCTGTTTGTGTCCCAGGTGCTCACCTCTTCAGGGCTGAGCAGAAAGGCTCACCTGCAGAAAGATTCAAAGACCTGGTAACTGCTGAGTGTTTCCTTCTCACTTTGCTTCCAGATTGAGAGATACCCACCCTTCCTGCCATTGCCTCCTCCACTTTCTCAAAGGCACTAGGTCATACATCATGGTATTTCTTAAAAAAAAAAACAGCCACAAAACCAACACTTTTTAGATAACACCACGTGGGGAGTTCAGCAGCAGTGCTGACGTAAGGAGCTATGAAGGTGCAGCTGTTTGTGGGACTGGCAACCAGATTAGGGAATTAAACTGGCTTTAAAAAGCAGAGGGTGGGGGGAGAAAAGCAGGGGCTCTTTGTTTTGAAGCTAGATCAGTTCCCCGATCTGGCTCACCGCACAGCTGGGTGGTGCACTGCTGCACCAGGGAGGGAGCAGAAGGCTGGGAGTGGGATGGGAGATGTGAGGGAACTCCTGGGGCTTGTATTGCCACTTGCAGTAACAGCTGTAAGGCAGTGTCCGAGTTTGACAATTACTATGGTTTTGAGTCTGTTCTTAAGGAAACCAATGGGTTTGGGGACTTACATTTGCCAGTAAGCTTCACTTCACAACTTCCCCTGTGAAGATCACTTTGAACACCATTTTACAGTTGTGACAGTGAAGGTTAACTGACTTTTTCAAAAGGGATTTGCTTTGGAAACAAAGCTAAAATGTGAAAGTTGTGAGTTTCTTGTCTGTGTGGTCTCTGTTGGTGACTTTCATGTACCTTCCTGTGGCTGAAGTCTGTGCTGTCTGTGCTGTGGTGGAGCTGGAGCAGCTGTCAACAGTGCTGGTCCAGAAAGGAGTTGACCGAAGTGGAACCACTCAGAATTTGTGATTTTCTTTGCAAAGAAAAACCCTCATAAATGTTGAGGTTTATCAACTAAGACCAACACCAAGATTGTTTGTTTATCAACAAAGACCAAGCAGTAAGAGAGACATTAGTTCATCTGGGTGCCTTTTAGCAAAACACAAAGAAATCTGTTCAGATTGGTTTTAAGGCAACCTTCAAAATAATATTCAGGAAACTTCTCCTTTCCATCCAGAGTAACCTTCTGACAAAACTCCTTGTGTGGCTTGTTTTAGCTGGAAGGATTTTCTCCACTATGAAGATTTTTCAATGTACTTCTTTTCCCTCTGATGCGACGGAACTGTGGTGATGAACAAGACTTTTTGAGCTGTGTTGAACACTTGTTAAATGAACTTGAATAAAAGATGAAGTTGTGCTTTTTCTAGTCTGAGCATGATCAGAAATACTGCATGGGAGTGGTATATTACGTTTGGAAAGCTAACACTGCATCTCAACATAAGCATAAAATTTTTGAAGACAGATTTAGTTATTTTCTCCAGCTATGAATAATATTTTAAATTTCATTTAAATTCCATTAGACCTGTGTTGCTGTTTTCAGAAGGTAATAGCTGATTAGGTTCTCAATTACTTTTCTTTCAATTCCTGGAAGGAAATTTATTCTGTGGCTTACGTGGTAAAGTGACTGAAGAGTTTAAGTGCATATAGACAAAGCTGTCCCTGTTAAAAAAAAAAAAAAGGAATATTATGAAGACGTGAAAGGTGAAATGCTTTTTCAGCACATGGGCTGCACAGGACACGGTAAATCTATCCTAAAGATGGTCTCCTGCATGAGATCCTGTCAAAGGTAAATCTTGTTGCTTTAGAGACTCATACTTATGGCAGGGGATTTATGCTACCTGACTGGTATGCCTGGAGGAAAAGATGTATTAAGTGCTAGCAGAGAAGAAGGAAAAAACTTGTCAAAATCTGTGGTTTATTAAAATGGTGCCAGCATTTGGTCAGAGCCAGCTACACTAGCCTTGTAATGGATTCTGGGAGCTGAGTTTACAGGAAAGTTTTGTTGTTCCATTAAAAAGTAGAACAGGATGAACTTTTCAACCTAGTAGGTAAAGAGCTAGTTTCCATGGGCCTAATTCTGTCAGCAAAACAAATGAGTCTTAAGAAAGAGCAGGCAAACTATTAAGACACGGCATTAGTGGAGGTGTTTTCCCACAGCAAAAGCCAGATGACTGAAATCAGAAACTTTCTGGTCTACTAAGTTCCCTCTTGGACGTTGAACTAGACATCTGACCTGGAAGACAGGAAAATGAGAGATAAGAACTTACATGATACTTACTCACATCTGCAGAAACAATTTAGAAACCTGTATGAAAAGTGGGTTTTACAGCAGAGAAAGAATCATCGATTATAAAGTGAAAGTTGGAGCAAGATCTTTAAGACGTTTTCCCATATGTCACACAGAGAAAGCTGTTCCCTTCCCTCCCCCTGCAGCTGCAGGGGACTCTGTAAGTGCATTGCAGTATAAGGTGACATATCATTCCTACCTAAGAATCATGAATTGTGTTCCATTTGCAAAAGGTCTTACGCCCCACTGAGACTTGTTTTTTTTAAAAAAAAAGCAACAAAAAAAGCACAACTTCCCAGCTTCATATTTACTTGACACAGCCTGTTTTATAGCAGACTTGTTGGGGGGCTTTGTCTTACATCTTACTCTCTTATCCAACCTTAAAGAAGAACGAGTTTTGAATGCTTACAGTTTATTTATTGTAGGACAGTAATATCCAGTTTTCTCCAAGAAGGATGCAGAACCCTGTTGTGCAAGACATAGGGAAAAACACAGCATAAAGAAAAAGTCTTCACCAAGATACTGAAGCAGCACATGGTCCTTCAGAGACTGAACATGGCTTTCCTGCACTGTGGTAGCTTCTCCTTCAGAAATAAAACCCAAAGTACTTTAAGATCTGACCTTCTGAGGGGTCCTGTTTACTTGCACTCACACATTGCAGAACGTTGAATAGTCTGCCCTGGAGAACCCTGTTTCTTATTGCTGCTGAGTAAAATTCAAGGGAAACCCTTAATGAGAACAAGCATTCCTGTTTCTTTGTTTGGAGAATCGTTATTCCTCTTTTGTATTTTGTGCTTGCCAAGAAGTACGTGTGCAATTAAAGTGGTGTGTTTTAGATCGATAGTTCGGGTGTGGGATACAAGAATTGCTGGGTCCAGCTTCCATAAACCAAAAAATCTAAGTGACCTCACTGCCACACTGGTTTCCAGCTGAGGGAGAGATCTTAGTGGGATCACTAAGGATTAGCAGCTGAATGAATAAAGATATCTATGAGATGAATGCTTGTAAGAGACACGAACCTTCCTTTCCAGACAAAACACGCTGGCGTTCCATAGTCAGTCTGTGATAAGGAACGAGCTGTTAGGAAAATGGAATTTCTGGGAATTGTAATATTTGCAAACCTTATGTTCTTCCAAATCAGAATGAAAAGCCAAAGCCTCCCATTGAATGAAAGCTCTGGGCATAGGAGAAAGTTGATTCGTGACCATGGAAACATTTCATACCTTTATATTCAGTATAACATGCTGATAATGCAAACATCAATGCCAATGTTTCATAAGTTGAAAGAAAAAAAGAAATACAATTAAGTGGAAGCATGGTGCTTTGCTTGGACAGTTTTCCTTCTACCCATTTCAAATTTTCATCCATGTCACAAGACCAAAGGAACAACCATGCTCGATTCACATCAAGAGTTCTTTTCATCTGAGGCGACACAATTCAGAGAGTGACTTTTCCAAAGGTGAGACTTGCCCTTCATGTGCTGGATGGGTTGTCTGTGTCATTTCCCCAAATATGAGATAATAAATTGCAGTGTCTGTGGTAGCACGGAACTGTGTGTGTGGTTCATCCTGGAAGCCTAAAATGAGTTTAAGTGTCCTGTTCCAGGTGCTTTGGAAAAGAGCACAAGAACAGGGAGAAGCTCAACAGTGCTTTATTTCAACAGCTCTCCCGTTGTTTCCAAGTATAAGGATACCTGCAGTTTATAAAGTTCTTGAGCTGGAGGTAATCTCCTGTTTGTTGTATTTTGTTGTTACAGCATTTTTCTTTTATGGCTTTTCCTACTGATTTATTAAGTATATAATTCTGACATCTTAAACACTTTGTATTCATTAGTTCCGTAATTGAGCGTTGTTAAATGAAATAGTAATTACTGGGTTAAACTTGAGGCCTCATCATATTCTTGGATCTCCCTTAGGTTTTTTATTTAAGAGTCAGCAGATATAAACACTTCCCTTCACCTGTCTCATGCCGGTCACCATTTTTCAGGCCTCAGTTTCCTTACTGCTTTCTTTCCCAAGCTGAAGGGTCCTGATCAACTTAAATGCTTTTCACACAGAAGCTGTATCATATTGCTAATTTGTCCTCTTTGTACTTTTTCTAGTTCTGTTACATTCTTTCTGAGAACAGAGTTGTATGCAGTGTCAAAGGTATTGTTGCACAACTAATTCTGATGTGTGCAACACTTTCTTTTTTATTTTCTCTTCCTAATAATGATTAATGTTCTGTGCACCTGTTAGACATTATTGTTTAGGGAGCTATTGCTGCTAGAGATGGAGCCAAAATGAATCCAAGATCTCTCCTTTCTAATGAACTTTCTAATGATAATAGCATACTAGAGACCAGTATTTTATGTACCTAGAGAAGGGTTTTTTCACATTTATGCTTCTCAGTATCGAATTTAACCTGCTGTTTTGCTTCCCAGTTACTGGCTATATGAAAATTCTTCCACAGCGTGTAGTTTGATAACATGGTATGATGAAGCTTGCTGATGATGTTGGATATAAGTTGGTGTTGTAAAGATGAGTGTCACCTGGAAACATACCCAGAAGACTTTTCTGAGGGTACCATTTTAATGCCACTCAAATAAATTCAGTGTTGGTATATACAAATGATGAACAAACCTGACATCAGCTTAACAAAAAGGTGTGTTCTGCGTGAACCATGGCTATTTTGAAATGAGACCTTGAGATTATATTAGAGAATGAAAACGTCACTTTGATACTCACAGTCAAAAGCAAATCAAATGTTAAGAATCAGTATGTGAGTGACTGAATCAGCTTTTCTGCCTGGGAAAGATATAACTGAAAGGGAATATAGCAAAGGTATATGAATTAATTAATGATATCAACATGGTAAATGCGAAATCCAGCATCTGGGACGTCATAACCCCATGCACCTGTGCAGGCCAGGGATACACAGGATTAAAAAAACAGCTTTGCAGAAAGGTGCTGGTGAGCAACCAGCTGAATAGCCATCTGCAGTTCCTCTTGCAGCAATGAGAGGTAGAGTTGTTCTGAGCAGACAGAGCAAGCAAGCAGCTGGGGCAGATGAGGGCCTGCACTAAGGACTGGGGGCAAGAGATGTGCCCTACAGGCTGGGGCTTCTTGGGGCAGCAAGATTGAGGATGGGAAGGAGTGTGAGTAGGGGAAAAGGAGGAAGTCTCGGGAGGAAAGAGAATTTAGGAAAGGATGAGAAAGAATACAGAAAATGGAGGGGATTCTGAATTGAAGTGATAAGCAGAAATAGTTTGAGAGTTGGGCCACATTGCAAAATGAGTTTGGAGGCAGAAGGACTTGGGAGATAAAAAGTCACAGCTGGGAAAAAGTAGATGAGAGGGGAGAGTCAGGGGATGAGCATGCTGTGCTACACAGGCTTTTGGGTGAGAATGGGCGAGGATTACTGTGGTGCTTCTCTGCTGCCTCTAATCAGCTCTGACCTGGAAACAGAAATTTGCAGAGACCTGGCCTTCCTCTCCCAGCAGCACAGCGTTTGCTGCACCTACATTCTCTTTTCATCACTCAAAAATATAAAATTTCAAGTTTAGTTTCCAGACAAGAAAATAACAATAATTTTGCTGGCTATCCATTTTTAAATCAACATTCCCCCAAACTGCCTTCTCCTTTAGTGTTTTTCTCCTCTTTTTCCAGCGTGAGATGAGGAAGAAGGCACAAGCTTCTGTCCCAGGGTGCAGCCTCAGCTTCTGGTTGCATTGTCCTGCTCCCACGTTGCACCGTCTCCTTTGCTCAAGTCCATTTCCAAATTTAGCCAGGAGAAATAAATTGTGGACAAAGATCATTCCCGATTTGGCCAGCAGATGGCAATTACTGCTCTGGAAGAGATACTTAGGTGGCCTTTGAAGTGTACAGAAACAGGAGTTTGCAGTCGATGAGTCTCTGTAATATTATATTGAGAGCAAAAAATCTGGAATTTGAATTTCTGGAAATTGACTTCACCTTTTCTGTCATCTATTAACAGATCAGATATTGGAGCTTCTCAGTCTATGAAAGAAATACTGTTATACATTAAGGAGAAAAGCACTTAATGTTGTTCTGAGTTGTTCACCCAGCAGTTAAATCTCTGCTGTGCTGCCATAACAAGCAGTACAGGAACTTTTGGTCCCTTTTTAGAAATATTATAAAATCTGTGTTGTTTCTGGGATGCTTCCTGTCATATCTAAAGGTCCTGACATGGATAGTTGAAATTAAAGAAAAATTTAATATATGTGTGTGTTTCCTATTTTGTTACAGACCATGGGGAAATGAGCTGTTTAATTTTAGAAGGAGAAAGAGCAGAGCATGCAGGTACAGATAATACATGTAATAAACAACAAACTTCGGCAAGAGGTTAGCAGAGAAGGCTGCTGCAGGAAAATTATGTAAACTTGGGTTAGGTTCTTTGCTGAATAAGGAGAATGTTTAAGGGATGATGTAAAAAGCCAGCAAGGAAGCAAGTCAGTGCTATGGTTACTGGACAAATATACTGACATTTTCCTTTCCCTTGCCTGAAGTTCTTCCATTTTCACAGTGAAATGGTTCTGTACAATGTGGCATTTAAGGGAATGCTGTGAGTTTTTATGGCTCGGGAGGGTAACTCCCAATGTGGGGAGGAGGAAGGGTTAAGAAGGAGGTTCAAGCTGGCATTACAGTTTGGTTCCTGGCTATCATGCTGACTGGGCCAGAAAGGAGTACAGAAGTCCTGAGTAAGTGTGGGGGAAAACATTTCTTAAATCGTTCCTCGTGACCTTTTTACCTCGAGAAGCATAAATAGGATATGAAGCAAACTTTATCTAGCTTTGCGTGGCACAAAGTTTAATTGCCCTGACATGAAACTGAGGGCTCCAGCTCCCTTCAGGGAGCAAAGAAGGAAAACTAGTGGGAAGAGAAACTCGGGGTCCTGCCAAAAGGGCTGGTTTACACTTAAACATTCAATATTTCAGACTGACTGAAATACTATGTTTTACTTTCCAGTCACACTGATATGACCAAACTATAACGAGACAATGAATTCCTAATCTGAGAGTGTGATTACAAGGTCCTTTCCCAAACTATTGCAGACAGACTAGAAATGTGCGATGTCCACTCTTGTATTTCTATCGTTAATGGCCAGTGCCCTATGAAACCCCGAGTTAGAAGCCCTCTCATTATCAAAAAAGAAAGTGCTTCCTCGAGTAAGAGAGAGTCTGTACCACCAGAAACAAGCCAGTCAAAGCGGAAGTCTGGAGGGGCTGTCTGGCCTCAGGCTTCAAAGGAAGCCCAGGATTTGCTGGTGGTGAATAGTTTAAGCAGACCGCAGGGACTATGTTCAAAAGTTAGTTTAAAAACAAACAAACCTGTAACTCTTACATGTTCATGGGTAAAAAACTCCTGTACTAAGGCTGTGTCCCTTGCTTTAACACCAAAGTTTCTGAAAACTGTCGTTAGAAAACCATGTTATTAGGAAATAGCAAGGTAGACTCAGAAGGAATTTATTCAAGTAATTAGGAAGGCTGGTTTGGGAGTAAGAGATGGAAGGTGGCGAGAACGGGGTTAAACATGGGATCGGTACCTGGCAATTTGTTGGAGAAATCCAGACTTAGGAACACTGGGTCTATCTGCGTCAGCGCGTCTTTGAAATGCAGGAGATCGAGGTTGGACACAACCACAACAAATCGATGACTAACCAGAGAACAGAAATCAACTCACTGTTGACAATTAGTGCTTCCAGTTAATATCTCATACATATATTGCTCCCCAAAATGAGCTTGACATCCCATCTTTATAAGAAGCACACATCTTGGCTAGAAAAACTCAGAAATCTAGCTCTCCCACATAACTGCTGCATACCAGGAAAAGCAAAATGAGAAAAAATGGCACTAAAATCCCCTTGTAGGTTACCCTGAAGTATCAGTGCTACTGTGAAAGCTGAAGTCAAACACAAGGCTGGGATTTTATGTTTGTGTCTGTAATTCCTGGCTACGATCAGAATCATTGCACAACCAGAAAACTGCTTTTCCCAACTGATAGCCTTGCTAAGTCATACTGGAAACACAAAATAGTGTGTACTTTGGCTGAGGCATTACCAGCCATAAAGATCTGGCGACTGCAGCTTGCTTAACAATTTTGCTAATTATATTTAAATTGGAGTGAATCAACCCTTTTAACACTGAATATAGAACAACTATATATTTCCCAAGGAGAAAAGCAGATAGGAGATGCGATGTACTCAGGTGAGAAGGTTTTTAACGAGTGTTTCCATACTAGGATTTAACACCCCTTTAACTAGACCCATTTGTTGGGCTGGTGTCAGTTATTAGACTGTGTAAGGTCAAAGATGGCCTGAAGTTAAAGCTCTGTAGTTACTCCCCAAAAATTCATGTGTGAACAAAACTTAAAGCTCGGCAGTTATTCCACAACAATTTATGTGTGAACAGTCTTATATCAGAGTAACTTTTTTTCTTCTTGTTCAACTTTTTCCACATGCCCATTATATATTAAGGTAATTAATGAGAAAAATAAACCCTCTTCTATATGTGGATATACATCAGTATGTTTAAGAAAGGGACAGTCATCCTTTAGCTTCTGCTTTTTCTACTGACTCGTGGCAGTACATCAGGTACCCTGCAGAAGTACAATTAGCAAAATGCCTTAAGATCAAAGGAACGACATAATTACAATGTCTGTGAACAAAGTGGGTCATAAAAGGTCAGAAAACATTATTTCTGTAAAAACAAGGGTCCTGGGTTATTTTTAAGATCACCTCCTATGTTAGTGGTGACTTTCTTAGTGAGAATACTAAGCATGTTTGGGTAGTGTTAGAGAAATCCAAGATGACTCAATGATTAATAATGCTATTCTCCAGAGCAGATTTGCCTCAAATAGAAGACTTGTACATCATTTAGTACACAGTTTTCATGCCCAGTCAGTAGCATTTTAGGTCTTACTAATTGTTAAATCCTGTTAGTACACAGTAGTATCCTGCAGTAAATTCCAGCAAAGTGAATTTTGGAACTATGATACTGCTGCTTGGTGATGGTTATAAATCAGATTCCTAAGCGTTTGGGAACCATTCATGTGGTTTAAGTGGCTTGGGTTTATATAATTTTATTTCTTGTTTGGCCCAATTTGAGCACACGATCATTCCCTTAAAGGGTGGTACTCGGTGTACTATATTATTCAAACAGTTGGCAACTTCTTAAAGGTTTAGATTATCCTACTTGGAGAGATTAGGGGAGTTGAAGGCTTTTAGTAAAAGAATTTAGGTGGAGTGTCATTTAATTTTAAATATTACTATCTCAGGGATAATTTACTCTTAAGTAAGATGACCTTGATTTCACCCTGGTGAGAGAAGACTCACCTTTTTCTTTAAAGTGTTTGTAACTAAAATATAAGACACAGGCAGCCACCTAAACAGTTGGACATTTTATATACTGAATAATTCTGCCTGAAAACTGATACTGCATCTGTTGTGTCACATCTCTGTGATTACACGGTGTTGTAATGCAGAATCTTTTCATAGTCTTTTAAATAATTGGGAGGATCATTATGATGATAAAGCAAATTGATTATTAATTTTATCCACCTTAGGGAATGCAATCTAGGTTTCCCAGAGAGGAATCTAGTCTATTTGCATCCCTTGAGTTACCGAAAATTTTATTTCAGAAGGAGTGCAAACAGCACTTGGGAGTTACTGACTCTGGAAAATACACATCTAGCTTTCAAGTACATGCTGCACTATGAGTGACCAGCTATTTGGTAACCTAGTAGTCCTTGTAAGTGAGACTAGCCAGGGGTAGCATGTTGGCTTTCTCAACCCAAGCAATATGGGAGGCAACAATAGTTAGATTCAGGATTCCTTTATGAAATTGACCTGTGTGAATACATGCTATACTATAGATCCTTTTTTTCTGTATTCATTTATTTTTATTCTATATCTAAAGTAAGGGTTATCCCATTAATCCAGTAGGGATGGATTTTTATCAGAATATAAATATAAAGTGCAGGGCCTATGTGTGTGCTTGCTTTTGAACAAGTGGTATATTTTTACTTAGCCACTAAGTAAATATATATTTAGAGGAAGGGCATTGATATAGGATTTATTTAAGTTTAAAAAAAATAATCCCTATCAATTCAGGATTAATTTAGTTCTGCTTTGAAAACAGAGGAGATATTTGACAGTACTAGCAAGAATTGTTATGTTTATTTCACAGAATACAGTTGTTGCAAACTGAATGAAGCATTTCCTTATGCCTTTTTTTGAAACCTGTTTTACCCATGTTACCAAATATGGGATTAATTGTGGGTTAAATAATGTATCAATTGGAGAAAACTGAACCAGAAAGACTATGTAAATTTTGTTCTGAACTGACCTGCAACAGACTGGATTTTTTTGCTGTGGGATACCCAACTTTAAATTCAGGACTTCGGATGATAGTTAAGAAATAGATGTAGACCCACCACAATCATTTAAAAAAAATAATTGAGAAAAAATTGCCTTTCTGTTACTCTTTCATATATTAAAGCAGCTCTTTGTGAGTAGAAAAGTAGAATGAAATGAAGCTCTTTGTGCCAGCTGTAAGGTTATATGCTGTATGAAGTGATTTATCGTATATTTAGTATGTCCTATATAGTTTAAGTATTTCAGTGCAAATATGTACAACCTGGAAATATTCTTTGATATATTTAGTATCCTTATACTGCTGTTAAAATGTCAGATGTTTTTTTAATGTTTTTATATCTCGGTACAAATCTGTTCCATTTGCAAAGGCAAGCAGACTTTGTTAACAGTTTTCGTATGTCTTAATATTTGAATTGACTCATTTAGATACACAGTTTTGCTTATCTAGTAGTAAAATGCTGACAATGTTGTAAATCATATCTTGAAATGGGGCCACTAACACCTGCTAACCCTTGCTTTAGCCTTTAATACAGAAGCACTTTCAACGTGACAAAATGAAAATGATGATAAAAAAAAGTTAATTTAACTTGAATAGAAATTAGAATTCTTAAAAAGCAAGCAGGTAAGATTAGTGTCACTTCTACTCCTGGTGCCTTGTTACTTAAGTAGTATTGGCAGAGGTAGTTTGGCTCTTTGCTTTTTGGATTTTTTGCAACCTGAAAAGTCAATTGAGCAGCAACTGAACATACAACCAAAATCTCCTTCTACACAACAATCAAATTTGGTTTATTTGATAAAACACTTGCTTCTCTGATGCACCAAACTTTTGTTGAAAACAAAATTAAGTTCTTGAGACTGCAAAGGTGGTCTGGAAGATATTAAATCTATGTAAACAAAGGAAGGAACTTTGAGGTGCTTAGATCCTATGATAATGGATGAAATATGAAATACTTGACCTGGATAGTGGTATCAAACCAAGCCTGAAGACAGCTTAAAACAATGGCTTGAAGCAGTTCCTGCTCATTTGAAAGAGATGTTAACTTTGAAGCTGTATGAGAATGTTGCCAACAGTGTTAGTTATTTCACTGCCAAGAAAGAGGTGAATGATCATGCTAGGACAATGTATTCATGCTTCCTCATTTAGCAAAATAAATTCCACATTTGGGGTCTGAATAAAAATTATCTTAAGATGTTCTTCAACTTACTATCCAAGTGTGGGATTAATTTCAGCAAATTTTAGGTAGCTAGAGTTCTCACACCTACATCTAAGCCAGTCATCTGGGCTCCTTTAATATCATTTATCTCATCATAAATGTTAATGTTCAAAGTAATTTGTCCCCTGGAATTCCCTATTGCCTCCTGCCAATGATATGCAGATGACCAGCTCTGATCAGATAGATGTTTGCGGCTGAGACAGTGGCAAGGTAGACTAAAGGAATCCTTCACTGAAAGACTGCAATCAAAAACTTAGCTTTGTGTGACTGAAAATTTGCAGGGGGCAGAGGGGTTTTATAGTTAATGCCTATCACTTTCTTTCACTTGTCTGCCTTTAATAATAGCAGTTACATATTAACTACATCCCAGACTGTCAAGTCCCATCTACCCCACTAGTTGAAGAAAAAACCCCAGCCTAATTTAATTTGTAAGGGAGCCGAACCTGAGCCATAATCCATGCTTTCTGTGAACCTTAAAGAGGAATATGTTAAGGGAAGTCTGGAACTGTTGCTTTCAATAAACATAGGAGTGGGAATCAGACCTGTTGCTTACTCTCATCTTCACTAGTTAGACATTTAAGCTATGCTATTTCCCTCTCATTCTGCTCACCTTTATGCTTTTGAAAGGACAAAAAAGAAAATTCTCTAGCTATTTGTGAAGTAGGAGGGAACCTATATCTTGACGACTGATAGCACTTTAGGAAATTTTTACTGTAGGTGTTACCAAATGCTAAACCTAAGGTTAGACACTCCCAACGCTCCCCACAGTAAACAAGTAAAATCTGTGCTTTTTATCTTTGAAAATGTGACTCACTTGCTTCAGCAGCGAGGTACAGTCCCTGTACTTCATACGTCTCAGCTGGAGCCCGGTCTGAAACGTCAGTAGAACATCCTGTCTGGCTGAGAGATGCATAAACACTGCTTACTGAATGGGATTTAATCTGATGTTGATCTTCACGCAGTTGGTGATACCATATGTTTTTGTGTTTTAATCGTTATCCTGTTTATCTCATCTTTCTGACTTTAGGCCAAATCCTTCTGTTGAATAGGTGCATCATTAATCCTAGCTGAAAACTAAACAACAAAAAGGCTTAATCATTAAGAGCATGCATTAGTCTAAGTGGTCACATCATTTTGTGTTAGCCTCATGTCCTCTCTGTACAGTGCCTATCTTTCTTTGGTTTGCATCTATTGTACTAATTGTTGCAAACTTATGACAGTTAGACACTTTAATAAAGACCTTTTTTTTTTTTTTTCCTGGATGATGTAGACATACCCTTTTCATTAATTACAGTACAAATTCTAACCAGAAGAGGGAAGAATTAAACTCTCTGAACACATACTCTTCAAGCGTGGCATCCTATCCACTTTACCTTTGCAGAATATTACAAAATTTTGAAATGCTCTACAAATAAAATGATTTATGGAAAAAGCTGTCCTGTTGTGTCACTCACAGCATACTTCAACTATATGGGTAAACTTTTTTAAAGTAGTTGGCACCCGAAACATTCCTTATGGTCGAAGAAAGTTCTGCATGTGAGGGTTACTGAAGTATTGGTTGATTTTCAGTAGTTTGTGAGAAAGTGAGCGAATATTTAATAGGGAGCTGGCTAGAATTTCAGGTAGTGTTGTAGAAGATGCCATTTCCTGGTCTGTGGCTTTTGAGAGCCCACAAATGACAATGCAAATTCCTCCTTTGGCACTGGCATTTTATATACTGATCCTAAAATAGGCATAACCTAAGTACTACCATAGCAGATGTCTGTCACTAGCATTATGTCTTTTGCATGCACAATTGCTCTTCATTTGTTTTATCAGCTGTAGGGTATTAATAAACATGTAAATAATTAATAAAACATGTTAAATATGTAAAAAAAATGTAAAAAAAAAAAAATGTAAAATAAGTAAATTACTATAAGGAGGAACAAATCCTAGACAAAGCTATGTTGTTACTCACATCACATTTCTCAGCTTATCCATTCTCCACTGATTTTTTCACTTTTCTCTCTGTTTTGGTGTCAGTTTTATGATTTTTTTTCCTTGCTCGTAACAACAATTTACCTGAAATAGATACAGTTACCTGTATACAAGTCTGTAATCTCTTTATTTTCTGTCAATTCTCTCATGTCTGTCTTCCTTCTTTTCCCCTATCTTTTAGAACTATTTTTCTTGTGATCATGCAGGGCTCAAATAACAGAGCTACAAGGGTGGCTTTCCTTTTACACATCTTTCCAGAGTTAGTATTTTTTTATTTCAAATAGTTTTGGGTTTGTTTGGTTTCGTTTTGTTTTTTTTTAATTCTTTGATAGCAAGAATTTAAATGCCAATGGTTTTATTGTGAATTTTTGGGGTTACAAAAACTTTAGAAATCAAACTGAAGTCAAACCTGCCCATATTGTGTTTGCAAAGTATATTTACTACGGAAGGTGGGGACTGAAAATTATCTGACTATGAAGAGTGAGCCTTTATTGTTCTTGTTCTTGGAAACTACCAGGGAAATAGTTGAGATCTCAAGAGACCTCTCTTGAAAGGGAAGAGACTTAGTTCTTGACAGGAGCAGAGTGTACCAAAGAGCAAAGAGGTACAAAGTTTCCTTAGATATCTACTTAAGGCCTCTGAAGAAAGGCCCCATGTGCCCTAATTTTTTAATAATACAAACTTTTTTTTTAGTTTAGATAAATAGCAATAGGACAATAAGATACAGAATACTGAAGGAACATGCAGAATAGTTGCAGCCATCAAATTTATAAAAATTGCATGTAGTGGAGAATCAGATGTTGTGAATCTGTTCCCAACAAAGTGAAGAGAAAGGGAAAATAGTTATTTTGTACTAATCAGGGGACAAGAAACACTTAACAACTGGAAAACAGAGTCTATTAAAAAAAAACCAACCAGAAGCAGAAGTCACAGAGTATGTTCACAATGTTGGTTTTTTTTTAAAAAACACATCCTTAATCTGAAAAAGTGGGGGGAGTCACTACAGTGTTTATGGGAAACAGGGAAATGAAACTGCAGTACATAAATATTATGTTGAAAAACATGTGGAGAAGGAATTAGTTTTGTGCTTAACTGAGCACTGTCCAAAACAAAAAAAAAATATATGTTTCTTCCCTCAAGGTGATTTGACTATCTGTCATACAGTTCACCATTCAGGAAGGTAGCTGGGAGTAATCTGAGGAGTCTAACTCAAAGTTAGAAACATATTTAAGTGCTTGCAGGACTGGGCCCCTTCTGGTCAGTCATATTAAGATCCAATCTTGGATTTTGCCCTTGTTTATTCCTATGCAACCGAAAGCTTAATTCAGTTAATCATTGCTGGCAAAGGTAATGAAGATTGAATCTGGTTCCAGAAAAGGTTCACTCTGTCATAACTGTTCAAAAATGTTACACTGTGGCAGGTGAAGCTTGATTTATTGTAAGAAAGCTCAACAGAACTGGACGACAGCCTCTAGACAAAGACTTGTTGGAGAATGTGAAGCGTTAACTTTTGCATGTTAAATTGCTTACAAAATATTCAGAGCACATTTAAGCTTATGATAGGTTTGGGATTTTTCATAAGCATTAAAACTTGTTCCTTGGGGAAAACAGATGTGTTTTTCAATGGTCGGCCAAAAGTTCTTGCTTTGCTTTGTTGATTATTATGTATTTCATACAGCTATATTGTGTGTTGTTACAGGCTTTTATTTTTTCCGTATTCTACTGCTGTTGTATGTGAAATGGTTCTTAGATGGGCATGGATAACAAGACAAAGGGAGTACACAGCAAGATTAGTGCATCTATAAAAGGCACTTCATTATCATCATAAACATATGTTAACTTTTTTTTTAAAATAACTTATTTTAAAACAAGTTGGAGGACACTAAACATGCAAAATTAAAAATCCAAAGGTCAATTAGTTCTAAAAGCCAGGCATTCTTCAAGTTGACACCCATTCAATGTCCATTATTATACACGTTTTCATTATGTCATTATATGTTTTTCTTTCTTTAGCTACCACTTTTCATGTGGAGAGTGACTGAGTTGTGCTGAACAAGGCATGGTCTTAAGAATCTGTGCTTTACCTTGGACTAAGTTTTGTTTCCCCATGTGGCCACTGGTAGGAGAAAGTGATTCAGGGTCAAAAAAAAGGAGGAAGAGGGCTTAACAGACAGGAAGGGGAGTTGGGTGGTGCAACTGACACAGCAGTACCAGCTCAGGTTCTGAGGGAAGGAATGGGGATGGCTTACGAATGCAAGAGCCCTCCAGGTCTCATGGGGAAGGACGAAGTATCCAGGTTTCATCTGCTGATTTTCTTTCAAGAAGGTCCTCTTCCTCATCAGGCCCAAGCTGCTTCAAACGTAAGTAGCTGCCAAACACAGGAACAGATGTGCAGCTGAGAGTTTGAAAGTAGGATCACTGGTCAAAAGCTTGTCATTTAAGACTCCTGACCTCAGCTTTCCCTCTCCTCGCACTTTGCTGGTGGTGGGGAGGAAAGGTCAAGAATCGACGCCTCTGTGCAAGTGGGAAACATTTCATGAGGTGTGTACGTGCAGTATCTTCGTTAAAAAAAAATAAATTAAAAAATGAGACAACCGTGGAGAAACGGTTTCACCGCAGTCAGTCACCCCTGGCTAAGTGCTAAGGGTGGCCCAAGGGGAGGCGGAGAGCTGCCCGGGAGAGCAGCTCCCTGAGGACGGCGGATGTCCCGAGGGCCCTGGAGTGGCCCGTCTCCGTACCGGGGCTGACAGCCCAGACCCCGGGCCCTCCCTTGGGGAGTGAGAGCGGGCCACGAAGAGCTCCCGGGGGCCGGAGAGCGCCGGGCAGCGCCGAGAAAAGGCCGCGAGGGGAGAGAGCAACGGCTGTCAACGGGCGCAGGCGGGGCGGGGGGGGGGGCGGGGG